GGGGAGGGGCGGAGGAGGAGGGGGGGGGGTCGGAGGCGAAACTCTCGCCGTCTACTGTTGCGGTCGTCGTTTCGTCGCCGCCTGCTGCGTCTGCTGCTGCTGCTGCTGCTGCTGCTGCTGCAGCAGCAGCAGCGTCTTCTGCTGCTGCGGGGGCGTTTGCGGCCTCGTCCTTTCCCGCTGCTTCCTCCACCTTCGCTGCTGCAGCAGCTGCAGCAGCAGCAGCAGCGTCGGAGTCGCCGCCCTCGGCTTTCCGGGCGCCGCGCCCACGGCGCTGCCGCTGCTGCTGCTGCGATTCCTCTCCTGCTGCTGCTGCTCCTGCTGCTGCTCCTCCTGCTGCTGCTGCTCTCTTGGTCCTCCCGCGAGGCCGGCCAGCTGCTGCCTCCTCCTGCTGCAGCTCTTGCTGCGGCTCCGGCTCCCGCTGCAGCTCTTGCTGCTGCTCCTGCTGCAGCTCCTGCTGCAGCTCTTGCTGCTGCTCCTGCTGCGGCTCTTGCTGCTGCTCCTGCTGCGGCTCCTCCTGCTGCATCTCCTGCTGCTGCTGCTGCTCGTCCTCCTGCTGCTGCAGGGTCTCCCGCGCCTCGTCTTTGACGCGTTTCTGGCCGGCGGCTGCCGCAGCAGCAGCAGCAGCAGCAGCAGCAGCAGCAGCAGCAGCGGGAGGGCCCGCACTCTTGATTTGCTGCTGCCTGTAAGCAGCCCAAGACTCGTCTTTTCCCTTTTTTGGATCTCCAAAGGGACGAACTTCGGCTATTCTTTCGTCTCCTTCAGCAGCTAAAACGAAAAAGCGGCAGCGCCGCTGCAGCGAAGACACTATGCGGTGGTTCGCCAGAGACACGCTGCAGCAGCAGCAGCAGCAGCAGCAGCAGCAGCAGCAGCAGCAGCAGGGGGTGCTTTGTTGGGTTGGGAGATGGGAGGGACTTGTGGAAAGGGGAAAGGGAGGGAATAGATGGGAGACAAAAGGGAACAAAAAAGAAATAAAAATAAAACTAATAAAAATAAAAAAGAATTAAAAATAATTAAAAAGAAACAAAAAAGAAATAAAAAAAAGACTTTTGAAAGGCAAAAAGAAGGAGACATCAAGGAGATAAAAAGGAGACAATTGGAATAAAATAAAAGATTCCAAAAATGCAAAAAGAGGCGAAAAGACACTCTCCAAAAGTCCTCAAAAATAAAAAAAAAGAAAATAAACCAAAAAAATAAGATAAATTAAAAAGATTTCAAAAACAGAAACAAATAAAACCTCAAAAAGAATTCGAAAAGAAAAAAGAAATAAAAAAACAAAAAAACCTCAAAAAAGGAAACCCCAAAAAGACCCCAAGCCGAGGCCAAAACCCTAGCCAAAACCCTAACCAAAACCCTAGAAAAACCCTAGCCAAAACAAAACCCTAGCCAAAACCCTTACCAAAACCCTAGCCAAAACCCTTGCCAAAACCTTTACCAAAACCCTAGCCAAAACCCTTACCAAAACCCTAGCCAAAACCCTTACCAAAACCCTAACCAAAACCCTAACCAAGATCCTTACCAAAACCCTAACCAAAACCCTTACCAAACCCTAACCAAAACGCCAAAAAGCCTCCAATAAGAAACCCCAAAAAGACCCCAAATAGTCTCCAAAACCTCCGCAAAACCCCCCAAAACTCCCCCTAAACCCTAAAAAAGGGTTTGGCGCACTTGCATCTGTGGGCCATAATAAAGGCTGCAGCCCCAGCAGCACGCGAACCTCCGAAGCCAACACACTCGGCAGCTGCCGCCCGCACCCCGGCTCTCCCCGCTCCCCCTCCCCAACCCCAAACCCTAAACCCTAAACCCTAAAAAAGGGTTTGGCGCACTTGCATCGGTGGGCCATGATGGAGGGCTGCAGCCCCAGCAGCACGCGAACCTCCGAAGCCAACACACTCGGCAGCTGCAGCGCAGCGTCCCGGCTCTCCCCGCTCCCCCTCCCCAACCCCAAACCCTAAACCCTAAACCCTAAAAAAG